AGGCCAGGGTCTCCAGGATCCCCTCTCTCCATCTCCCTTCCCCATGTTTCCCAGATCCCCAGACCAAAGAGGTTCTCAAAGCAGCTGTAACCAGGCTCCTCCTGCTCCCTCTGTATCCTCCCAGCTCTAGCACTGCCCAAGTGGGCAGTCACTTGCACCCTCCTCCTGAGGAGGGGTACAGGAGGGCAGATTGAGTGAAGGTCCAGGTAGTAGGGAGCATGCTTCCCTTGTGGGCAGCCCCTTGTTGGAGATGGAGGTGGCAGGCCTTCAGTGCTGCCAAGATGTCATAGCCCCTCAGGGGGTCTGGGCTGCTGCAGATGACCACTTGTGTCTAGTGATGCTCTCTGTTCTCACCTCCTAGGCTGTGGAGCCTGAGGAGGCCTCCTGCATGAGTCTGCCAAGGCCAATAGACCCTGGGCTCCTGGCCTCTCTCCTTCCTGTGGTGTTTTCCCTCCCTGGGCAGACTGGCAGGACAAGTGGGAGCAGTTGGCCTGCCTGTGGTTGAGAGGGCTACCTGCCCAGCCCCTCCCCCCCAAGGTTTCTTGGGCTCAGGCCTCAGAGTCTGGCCTGGTCTTGAGTGTGTGTCCCTGTGCATGTGTTGGGGGAGGGGAGGGCTGGGACTGGCAGCTCAGTGCGCACGGAGATCTGCCCTCCTTTTCTTGGAAAGGAGGCTTAAACCTTCACCCTTCCAGCCAGGATCCCCCAGGGCACCACCCCAGCTGCTTTGCTGACCCCACACCCAGGGCCACTGTCTGGCTCTAACTACAGCTATTAAGTGCTACCTGCCTCTCAGGCACTCCCCTTGCCCATTTTCTGAGGTCAGATGAGTGTCTGTGATGTCTTCCTCTGTCTTCCCTCATTCACCTCCCCAGCCTCCTGCTTTCATGCTCAGAACATTATCTTCCCAGGCTGCCTCTTCCTCAAAGTCTCACCTTTTCTTCCAGTAGAAAATTCTGCTTGACCTTTGGTGCACTACCCGCTTCCCAGCTCCACTGGCCCAAGTCTGAGCCTGAGGTTCTTGTTTCAGGGGCCCAGGGAGGGTTGGATTTGATTGTCCTTGAAGAACAAGGCTGACCTGAGAGGGACATTCTGTGGTGTTCCTTATGGACATCTGTGGTGCCTAGGCTCTGAGTTGGCTCAGCAATTTGTCCAGGGAGGCCTGACAGGGCCACCAGTAGGGGTTGGGACAGCCAATGTCACTTCCTTCTCTAGGAGTCCTCTCAGAGTTTATCTTCCCAAGACAAGAAGGGAAATTTTAAGTTCCCTTCTAAGAAAGCAAATTTATAATTCACCAGCAATAAAAATTGGAGGAGGCTTGGCCCTCAGCCCTTGTATTTCTCTTTTTCACTCTCTCTTCTACCCCCAATATTGACTGTGGGGGCAAGGTGGAGTGAGCTGAAAACTACTGTGAGCAAATTACCCCAACCCTGACCAGCCTCCTCCCATGACTGGTGACTGTTTAATGAGCTGTGCATCCCCCACAAAACAGGAGTGCCCTTCTTTGTGGCCTCTTAACTGCACAGCCCCTTCTGGGTGGTCCTCACCAGGTCTCTGAGCTGGATGGGAGGTCACCCTGGCAACCACTGCCCACTCCACTCACCCCTCACTGCACCTGTCCCAGAACCTGGGCCTGGGCCACAGGGGCTGGGAAAAGAGGGCATTAGTAGAAGAAAAAAAAAATATGAACAGTCTCAGCTTTGGGATTCCAACCACAAAATAAATTATATATAAATATATATAAATATATATCTACCATATGTGATGGAAAGACTTTTCATTTTCTTTTCCCAAAGAAATAAAATGGAGAAAGCCTCTTGAATGGCATTCTGAGGTCTGCTTGTGTCTTCACAGGTGTGGGATGTGAGCTTGAGGGCTGGGAATATGGAGGGCTGAGCTGGAGTAAACATTTCCCAGAGGAGGGACAAGGCCAGAGGTACTCAGTGGGCCATGCCAGGAGGTTGGCCCAAAGCCCAAACTCCATGTCACCCAGGAGGAGTCATGGTTCCATGTTTGTGACAAATGGGGCTTTCTCTTCAGTTCACACTCCTTAAAAGGATTTAAAGCTGCCTGTAGCTCAGAATTTGAATATCAGCCTGTTGGCTAGAAGGCAGAAGATGCAGGACAGCTAGATGCAGCTTGCAGTTACTTCAGCTACCTTGCAGTGATTGGTAATGTTTGAGGGCCAAATGTACAGAAAGAAGACTGAGAAAAGGTTTGCAGTTAGTGGCAAAAGGGACCTACAGATACTAGTGAGCTGTCCTTCTATAGTTCTGTCCTCAGGCAAAGTCCCACAATCAAGAATGCATTTTGGACCTTGGGAGGCCAAGACAGGAAGATTGAGAGTTCAAGCTTGGCCTGAGCAATTTAGTGGCTTAGCAAAACCCTGCCTCAAAATTGAAAAGGGTTTGAGCTGGGTGTGGAGGAGGTGTAAATCTGTAATCCTAACACTTGGGAGGCTGAGGTGGGAGGATCACTGAGAGTTTGAGGCTTGTCTGTGCTACATAGTTCAAGGCCAGACAACTATATAATGAGACCCTGTCTCTAAAAGGGAGGAGGTTGGGGATGTAAGTAGTGCAGTGGCCCTGAATTCAATCCCTGGTGCTGCAAAAACAATAACAAATTTTGTTTTAAGTAACACAACCTCACAGGACTTTAAAGAGTTTTATTTTTTCTCACCTGCCATGTGCAGCAGTGCACCCCTATAGTCCCAGAACTCAGGATGCTGAAATAGGAGAATCACTGTGAGTTGGAGACCAGCTTGTGTTATATAGTGAGTTTAAACCCAGCCTGGACTGCATACTGAGACCTTGTTTCAAAAAAATGTTTAATTTTTTCTCACCTAGTTAATCTGGATGTGAGTGTCATAGGTTTTGGTTCATTGTGGACCCAGACCAGTGACAGTGAACCTTTAGAGCTTTCAGTGATACAAACAACCCACTGTGGTACACATGCCATAGGTGCACCTCCACTGACCTAGACTTTTCATCTTCCCTGTTACAGCTTGTGTCATCTAAATGCCCCCCCCCAAAGCCTCATGCAGTCTTTTTCAGTTCAGAGGTGGCTGGAATTAAGGGTGTGTGATTACTAAATCAGTCCACTGATTGGTATGGCACCCCCTAATCCCAGTAGCCTACATAGAGTAGAAAAAAGCTGCTAAGGCCCCTTGTAGCTTTGCCTCCTTGTGGGCAGCATGAACTGTTTCTCCTCCATGACATCCCTCTGCCATATGCCACTTTACCTTGGAGCCAGATGATTATGGACTGAAATCTCTACAAACTGTGAGCTAACTAAACCTCTCCTCCTTTAACTTTGGGTATCGGGTATTTTGGGTCAGCCATGAGAGAAAAGTAAGACACTACCCTTCTCCCATCCTAGTTTGTTGTTTCCTCTTTGCCACAAGGTGGCTGCCACAGCTCTGCAATGGGACTGATCTCATCGTTTATCACAAAAGTAACGGCTGGCAATTTAGCTCAGTGGCACTGTGCCTGCCTCACAAGCACAAAGTCCTGAGTTTGATCCCTGGGGGCGGGGACAAAAAAAAACTATGCTCACCAGAGAAAGTAAAAGTTTTCCCAGAACCCTGCCACACCCTTTTAAATCTTGTTGGCCAGACCTGAATCATAACTCCTGGTATTTCAAGGGAGACTGGGAAATTGAATATTTGCCAAAGAGGAACAGAATTGTCACACCTTCCTAGGAAGAAATCATAGTTCATCTCCTGGGGATACTCTGCTGTTTCTGGGTACTGCTGGCCTTGTAACCAGCAACCAAAAGATTTCCCTGGTCAGCCTGTTGACAGAATCCTCCCTAAGCAGTGGCATCTGGTCTGGGGCTCCAAAGGTTCACACCTGTAAAGCAGAGCTCAGGAGGGCACCCTGGAGGGTTCAAGAGCTCAGATCTCCTTCATTGTTCTCAGGATGGATGGATGATGTCTCAGGCACTGACAAGGTACACAGATCCCAGTCAGCTGCTCTGAAGTACCCTCAGTAACCCTGGCAGGTAGAAGCTTGGTGGTTTATCTAGGTGGCCAAACTGACTCAGGTGTGGACCTCCTACACTCCCACCCACCAAAGGAGGTGGAAGACCACCTGGCTCATCTGCTACAGCTCTGGCCTCCTCAAGCTCCAGGTATGAGACTTCTGTCTACCATCACTGTGTCTCCTGAGAGCATATTACTGATACATCTCTATTACAAGTGCACTATTCCACTCATTGTGCTGATGAGAAACTAAGTTTAGAGACTGTACATGACTTCCTCATGGTCATAAAATACTGAGTAGGGTCCTGGGATTCGAATATCTGTCTGCGCTGCTCAGTCACTTCCAGAGCTATCCACCAAGGATAGTATTTTGCTTCTGCAGGTCCTAGATTCCTTCAGTCACTTCGTCTAAATCTGTCAGCACAAAACGTCCTTTGAAAACGCTGACAGAGTCTTTTGACCCTCTGCCGCACCCGTCACTCGCTCAGCCTGCGGAAGTTGAGAGCAGTTGGCCGGAAGTGTTGCTAAGAGGAGGCTAGGTCTTGTGGGAGGAGTAAACGTATTACCAGAGCCCGAGATGTCCCCGGTTTGGTATTGCGGGACTCCTCTTTCTTCAGGCTCAGGTGAGTGGGAATGGACGGTGAAGAGGTCGCGGCTGCTACTTCTTGCGCCTGCGACCGCCCTGGCTTGAGCCTTTCTGGTCGTTCCAGGGTTTGCTTGCCCCTAGGCCCGATGTGCTCTTCCTTGTCCGAGCTGTGAACGCCTCACTGAGCCCTTGCTCTAGGGAGTACCTCGGCAACCCTCACCACTCCAGGGTTCTGTGACCTTGGGCAAGACATTTACCTGAATCTTGATTTAAAACAAAATAAAACACCCTGTCAAATAGAGATCCTAACAGTACGTGTCTCATGGCTGTTGTGAGAATGTAGTGATTCAGTCTGTCGCTCCTTTTCTCACACTTTAATATGCTTGTAACTCACTTGGAAATTCTGATTCAGCAGGTCTGGGGTCCTGCCTGAGACTCAATATTTGACCAGCTTCCAGCAGATTACACTTCGAGCAGCACGATTCTACAGTATTTTGCTTAGTACTTGGAATGGGGTGAGTCTTAAGTAAATATCAACATGATATATGCCCTTTTCTCATTTTTAACAGGCAGTTTCCAGTTGCACAACCTTTGCTTAGGGTAATATTGTTGTGCCCTCATCTTTTCTTTTCAGAGATAGGAAACAGTTCTTTTTCTGTGCAAGTCATGACACAGCTCTTCTGCCCTGATTTAAGGAGCTGTGAAACTTACCACCAAGTGCTTTAGCATTACTCTGGCTGGTGTTTTGAGCTTCGTGTTTTCTGCCCTTTGGGCACACTGTGAGTAGTAACAACAGCTGACTTTTCAGAGCTAAGTTGTTCACTTTAGTTACTTGAATGGCCTTGAGAAAACCCTTATATTTGCTCCTGTCTGTAGACCCAAATAAAGTCTGAGGACTCCTGCATCATACATTAGAGAAAGTGAGGCCTTTGGCAGTATGCAAGACTGATGTTTATTTGTCAGTGTGGTTTTCTTTTTGTTTTTGGTACCAGGGATTGAACTCTGGACCTTGCGCTTGCAAGGTAGGTGCAGTGCCACTTAGCTAAATCCCCGGCCCGTCAATGTGGTTTTCTTCACCCACCTAGTGGTTTGTTTTTCTGGTCACCAATGAAATCTTGTCATTTATCATGGAAGTCAAAGTTTGCATAAAACAATTCTGAAGTTCCTCCTTTGCTTGTCTGAAATATTAACTCTGCTGTCTTGCAAACTGGAAAATCAAGAGTGCTGAAAGTGACAGATTCAGACCACTTAGGAGTTTTCTGTCAGTACTATGTAGATGCACATACTTTTTTTTTTTTTTAAAGCTGCTCAGATTTTGTCATTCCTCTGATAGTTCTATTAGATGGGCGAAGTAGACCTGAGCATCTGCTCCTTGGTGTCATATGGAATGACTGACTGACTTTCTTTCTTCTTTTTTTTGTTTTTTGAGATAGGTCTTGCTTTGTAGTGCATGCCAGCCTTGAAGACACTATGTTAACCAGGTTGGCCTCCAACTCAGCTATCCTCCTTCCTCAGCCTCCAGAGTGCTTAGATTACAGGTGGGCACCATCAGGCCCAGCTTGGAGAGTGTTTATAAAGACAGGGTCTTATGATGGCCAGGCATGGTGGCACATGCCTGTAATCCCAGCACTCGGGAGGCTGAGGCAGGAGGATCGCTGTGAGTTCGAGACCAGCCTGGGCTACATAGTGAGTTCCAGGTCAGTCTCAACTACATAGTGAGACCCTGTCTCAAAAAACCAAACAACAACAATAACAACAAAGAGACGGTCTTATGTAACCCTTTAAAAGAAGTTGTTCTAACACTGTCTTCTGGAGCTTTATCATACCCACACACTTCTTGCCATTCAGATAGAGGAATAGCAGAGTCTTAGAAGGGAGAAAGGAAGGTATATTTTAAAAGCTAAAAAAGTATTGTGCTGCTTTTTATAAGCACAGAAACTAGAACAAAGAGAAGGGGATGAGTTGTTAGACATGATTTTTATTTGGCTTAAGTCTGTGGGTGATACTTATGTTGACCTAAACACCTTCTAGTATTAGCAGATCTTTGTCTAGTAGGTTCTGTGGAAGCAAAAGCACAGAAGAGTCTAACTCAGTTAACATCCTTCTTAACAGCAGAAGGTTCTTACTACCAGTCTCTAAGCCCTTCCTAGGGGCATTAACACTTGAGAGATTTAGTTGTGGACCTAGAGAAAGTTAGCACTTTTGTTGTTTTGTTTCTCAAGATTGCTCAGCAGATTATTATAGTTATTAATTAATTTTTTTGCAATACTGGGGATCAAACTCAGGATCTTGAGCTTGCGAGGCAGGATGACACCAGAGAGCTAAATCCCTGGCCCAACTCAGCAGATTATTGCTGAAACAAAAATAGGGTTTTTAGTATCTTTATTTTTTTGGTACCAGTGATTGAACTGGGGACCTTGCACTTGCAAAGCACAATGCCACTGAGCTAAATCCCTGGCTTTCATATCCATATTTTTTCTCAAGAGACAAAATTTAATATATGCACATAGTTTTATATATAATGCAGCATTCGTATCCATTTTTTGCAGCATTTTATTGGGAATTAGGAAGGTCTTTCTAAGAAAAGGATCAGAATTGAAAAGTGAGATCTGGTAACTGGTAAATTATACATGCTGAGAGTGTCATACATTTAATGTACAGTGAACATCACTGCCTTACCCTGCCTGGCTCCCCTTCTCTAATTTCTGGACTTTAGTTTAAAATGAAGTTATTTGGCCTTTCTCAGACCTATACCTAAAAAATAAAAAGGGAAGATTACTTACTCCTAATTCTGTGTGATGGCACATGCTTATGATCCCAGCACTCTGGGAGGTTAAGCCAGGAGGATTACAAGTTCAAGGCCTTCCAGGCTAATTTAGTGAGATCCTGTCTCAAGGTTTAAAAACAGTTTTTAAAAGACTGGGTTGGGACATACCTCAGAGTGAAGGCCCTGGGTTCAGTCCCTAGTACTGAGAAAAAAAATTCCTTGCTCATCATTCAGAGTGTTTAGGGCAGTACCTTTGGAAATGCCAGCATCCAAGGCTCTCTGAGACTCCTCCCTAATTCATTAGGATCCCTAGAAAAGAGACAGGGAAGAGAATAAATTGGGGTACTTAAACCAGTAAAGGAGTTTTGTGAAATGATACATCAGATGTCTGAGCCTTTTGTGAAGGAGCCAGGAATTTATTGGATGAGTGTCCATCTTATTTTTGGGTTTTTTGTTGGTTTTTTTTTTTAGCCAGGGTCTTGCTCTATGTCCAGACTGGCCATAAACTCACTGTCTAGCTTAGGTGGGCCTCAAACTCAGGACAATCCTCCTGCTTAGCTTCCTGAGTGCTGGGATTATAGGTATGTATCACCATGCCTAGTTCATAGTGTTTTCTTGTGGCTTCTCTGTTAGTCATTGAATAAGGAGGAGTTCTTTCTCAGGTGTTTTCTCTACCTGGACACCACATCCACCTCCTCATCTTTGCAGTATCTTTCCTCCCCACTACCTTACTCTACTGCTTCTCTGCTTTGTTTTTCTTTTCCTTCCTTTTCCACAGTACTCAAAACCCAACTTCTGAATAGTTATATTTCAGACCACTGTGTGGCGTCTGTAGTGTAACTCTTTAAATTGCCTGGTGAAATAGTATGCAGTCAAGGCTTACCATTTGCATTCTGGCTCCTCAGGCCTCAAAGATTCCTTGTCATTTACATTTCCATTACTGGGGATTTATAAAGAATTTCTATAGCCAGGCGTGGTGGTCATGCACACCTGTAATCTCAGCACTCAGGAGGCTGAGGCACATAGCCGTTTCAAGGCTAGCCTGCACTACAAAGGGAGACCCTGTCCCTCCCATCCCCCAAATAATTCTACAGACAGTAGAGGAATAGCAGAAATGTGGGACCTCTGTGGCTTTTCAATATTTTCATTGGTTACTTTACTCACTGTCTCCTTAAAGAATACTTAATTTCATGTTAGTACATGCTTTTTGTTTGTTTGTGTGTTTGTTGTTTTTTGAGACAGGATCTCACTATGTAATTGAAACTGACCTGGAACTCACTATGTAGCCTAGGCTGGTCTCAAACTCACAGCGATCCTCCTGCCTCAGCCTCCCGAGTGCTGGGATTACAGGCGTGTGCCACCACGCCCAGCTAGTACATGCATTTTATAAATTTAATTTTTGCCAGAGTTACATGTTTATGGTTTAAACAATTAAATAGGCTGAGTGTGGTGGCGTATGTTTGTAATCCCAGCACTCTGGGAGGCCAAGGCAGGATGCTTACAAGTTTGAGCCCCTGGCCCAACATAAAAAAGGGTCTGGAGATGTCGCTCAGTGTGAAGGCCATGAGTTCAATCCTCGTAACAAAAAACAAAAAACAGAGCTGGTCATTGTGGCACATGCCTGTTTATCCCAGCAATGGGGAGACTGAGGTAGGACAATTACCTTGAGTTTGAGGTCAGTCTGGATTACATAGCAAGACCCTGTCTCAAAAAATCAAGAAAACAAAACAACAACAAAATCCCCACAATAGGGCTGGGGCTGTAGCTCAATGGCGCAGTGCCTGCCTGGCAAGCACAAGTTTCTGAGTTTGATACCCAGTACCAGGAAAAAAAAAATCCCCACAATAGCCAGATAAGTTAGTAGAGCTTACAACTAAATGTTAGTTTTTTTTCCCCTTTCTGCCTCCATTTTTGTCTGTCTATGTTATCCAGGTCAGCCTTGAATTTGCAACCCTCCTACTTCAGCTTCCTGAGTGCTAGGGCTTTTGTGTGTGCCCACTTTTAACCCTTCCAACTGGCTGCCACCTGGAAACCTTAAAAGGTCATAGATCACTTAGCTCTACTCTCCACTGCCAATATTCTAGTAATGTGGGTTTTAGAGTCAGTCTTTGATGTCAAGCCCCACCAAGTCTTCAGCTGTGTAAACTTTGGCAAGTTTCTTAGTCTTTTCCCAGCTTCCAGAAGCCATCTACAGTCTTTGCCTTAGAACACACCTTTCTTTCTCTTTAATTCTGTCATGTAGAATTTTCAAATCATTTAACTTTTTTTTTTTTTTTTTTTTTTTTGGTACCAGGGATTGAACTCAGGACCTTGTGCTTGACAGGCAGGTGGCGGTACCACTGAGCCAAATCCCTGGCTCTATGGCAAGTTTCTTTATCTTGTAAATTCTGTTCATCATAAATAATATGGAGCTAATAAGCTCACATTACAGAAATGTTATAGGGATAGGAACTCATGCAGATGAAACAGCTTGTACAAGACTCAGTCTTGACCAGAAGAAGCCCTAACGAGATTGTAGTTTGTATCTTGGAACTTAACCTGCCTTTTCTCCCAGAACTGTAGATTGAATCCAGGTTTCACACATGCTACCCTTAGCCACATACCTCAGGCCTTTTTTCTTTTTTATCTTTTTTTTTTTTTTTTTGGTGGGTGGGTTGAGGCAAGGTCTCCCTTTGTAGTTCAGGCTGGCTCTGAACTCACTATGTAGGCCAGGCAGGCCTCAAACTTGTGGCAGTCCTGCCTCATCCTCCCAAGTGCTGGGATTACAAGCATGCGCCACTATGCCCTGGCTTCTTTTTTTATCTTAAGACAAGGTTTCTCCTAAGGTGCTCAGGCTGGACTTGAACTTGTGATACTCCTGTTGTAGCCCCCTGAGTAGTTAGAATCACAGGTGTGTGCCATTATGCTTTGTCCTGGCCTGTGTTGTTGTTTTTTTCCCCCCTCAGTGCCAGGGATCAAACTCAGGACCTTGTGCTAGTTAGGCAGGTGTGACTCTGCTCAGCTGTATCCCTGGACCTATTTTTATTTTTTTGAAACAAGGTCTTGCTAAGTAGGCAGGTCTTGAACTCATTATGTAGCACAGGCAGGCCTCAAACTCATGATTCTGCTGCCTCACCATCCTGAGTGCTAGGATTACAGGCATGTACCCCTGTGCCCCACTTAGGCCTTTATTTTATTTTATTTTTCAGTACCAGGGATCAAACTCAGGACCCTGCACTTGCCAAGTAGGCACGGTGCCACTGTGCTACATCCCCTGCTGCAGGCCTGTATTTTCAAAAATCGGAAAGGCTGCATCATTTCAAAATAGTGGCTCTATGGATCCCCAGTACAAAAAATAATAATAGTGGCTGTATATCAAACATTGATGTTCTATAATTTTTAAAATTTATTTCAGGATTATATACAATAATTTTATTAATTACTTTGAGTTAGAATTGAGTACTTATATAGAGGTATTGTTTGTTTCTTGTGTTTTGCATTTTTTTTTTTTGGGGGGGGGTCTGGGGATTGAACTCAGGACCTTGCACTTGCAAGGCAGGTGGTGGCACCACTGAGCTAAATCTCTGGCAATTTATTAATTTATGTACTCTTCCTTATACAGTTCTAAGCTCTCAAAAAGAAAGAAAAAGTTTATTCATCAAACATAACTAGAAGTCTTCCCACAAAGAGACTATGGTTTAATTTCCTTCTTTGTTCTTTTGAGACAGTGTTTCACTATGTAGTTAAGGCTGGTCCTAATCTCACTATGTAGGCCAGGCTGGCCTGGGATTACAGGCATGCACCACCACACCCATACCACACCTTTAGTTATACCCCTGTAAACCAGCCTCTTCCTATTGGATGAACATATAAGTTGTTTTCAGTTTATTGCTTTATTTTATTTATTTTATTTGTACCAGGGATTGAACTCGGGTCCTTGTACTTGTGAGGCAGGTGGTGGAACCACTGAGCTAAATCCCTGGCCTTTTTTTTTTTTCCTTCAGTTTATTGCTTTAGTGTGTAGCACACCTTTTTTGTAAAAAATGGGATTTAAAAGTTATTTCTAGGGCTGGGGATTTAGCTCAGAGGTTCCACCGCCTGCCTCACAAGTGCAAGGACCTGAGTTCAATCCCTGGTACACCGCCCCCCTCAAAAAAAAAGTTTTTCTAGCTAGATGTGGTGGTTCACACCTATAATTCCAGCAGTTTGAGAGGCTGAGACAAGTAGGTTTGATCCCAGCATGGACAATTTAGCAATATTCTGTTTCAAATTTTTAAAAAAATTTAAAAGGGCTGGGGATGTAGTTTAGTGCAAAGGCCCTGGCTTCAGTCCCTAATACTGAAAAACCAAACCAAAAAACAAGCAAGTTATTTCATAAGATTTGGTTTCCAATATGAGATAAAGGAGTTGAACAGTTTTTGGCCTTAGTTGCAAACTGTGTTAGACTAAATTTAAATTCCATAGTCCAAAGGAGGTCTTCTTAAAAACTCTGCAGCTGGAGCATTCTGTTACCTACTTTCTCTTTTATTGTTATCCTACTTATGCTACAAGTCTTAATTGAGATTCCTAGTGACTTTTTTTTTCCTAGTGACTATTATGAAGCATGTAAATCTTTTTTTTCCTTTCTTTCATTTTGGTGATGCTAGGGATTAAATCCAGTAAAAGTCATTCCAGCACCCTCAGAATCCCAGTCTGGTCTATTTAGTGGCAGCTTAGGTCTCCCCTGGTTTTGCTTGTCAGGCTTTTCTTAAAAACATAAATTTTAGGGGGCCAGGGATTTAGCTCAGTGGTTTCAGTGCCTCCCTCACAAGCTCAAGGGCCAGAGTTTGATCCCTGGTACAAAAAAAAACATAAATTTTATTTTATTTATCCTTTTTTTCCCCTCAAGCTCCTTCCTTTCCCTATATACAAAATCTTTGTTTACATTTTTCCTTCTATTTTCACATTTTTCTTGTCCCTTCCTTTCTTTCTCCCTTGTTTCCCTTCCCATTTGAACACTTTCTTCCCATTTCCCAACATCCATTATACATTTCAGTCCTTATTTCAATTTTCGGTTTCTCACACCAGAGAGGCAATGTGGTCTGATTTATTTCATTTAAGAGTATGGTTTTACGATTAAGCTATAAATGTCTGAAGCTCATCCTTCTTTATGGTAGAGTAGTACTCCATTGTATAAAAAAATACATCTTGGACCAGGGATTTAACTCAATGGCACCGTGCCTGCCTCACAATCACAAGGTCTTAAGTTAGAACCCCAGTACCAGAAACAAAACAAAACAAAAAAAACCCACATCTTTATACACTCATTAGTTGATGGGCATTTGGGCTGTTTCCTTGATTTTTTGCTTGTTGGGCTTTAGCGCCTAAGTGGAAGGGAAGAATAAGCATTGAGGAAGGCAGGAGTACAGCAGTCAGTTCATAACTCTCATGGTTTCTACCAAGGGAGAAATGGGAATTGTAGTGGTCATATGTAGAATTAAGATACCATGAGCATTGACTCAGTGGAAGCATCGCTAATCTGCCTCCAGAAGGAAGCTACACAGTTCCCCCAGCATGTCAGCAGCACAGTCATGTGAATGAACCTGGAGCCGATGTTTGAGCAGTTCTTTGCATCTTGTCCATGAATTGACAGTAAGCAAGACCTTACTTGACCTTCTGCTTTCCCCTACCAATATAAGTGATGTTTTTCGTTGTAATGGTGTTTTTTTGTTTTCCAGTGCTGGGGATTGTACCCAGCATCTCATGCAGGCTAGGCAAACACTTTGCCACTTAGCTATACCCCCCAGTCCAACCTGTTTAAGGTTTTTTGTTTGTTTGTTTGTTTGTTTTTGGTACCAGGTATCGAACTTGGGACCTTGTGCTTGCGAGGCAGGCAGCCGAACCACTGAGCTAAATCCCCAGCCCAGGTTTTTGTTTTGTTTTGTTTTGTTTTGTTGAGACAGGGTCTCACTATGTAGTTCAGGCTGACCTTGAACTCACTATGTAGCCCAGGCTGGCCTCAAATTTGCAGCAATCCTCCTGCCTCAGCTTCCTGAGTGCTGGGATTACAGGTGTGTGCCACCATACCTGGTCCATGATTGAGTTTCTGAGGATGCTTACCAGTTGCATGACTACTCTGCAGAACCATTTCAGATTCTGTTAAATGCCCCTGGAGGGAACAGTCAGCATCTTCTAAAAGGTATAGGAATAGTGTTAGAATGACAGAATTCTGTAATTAAAAGTTAGTACTGGGCTGGGGATTTAGCTCAGTGGTTCCGGCACCTGCCTTGCAAGCACAAGGACCTGAGTTCGATCCCCAGTACCCCCCCAAAAAAGTTAGTACTATAAGAACTGGTAGTGTTACTAGAGTGTAATTAATTAAACCTTATACCAAGTTCCACTTTGTTCTTTTTGCGGTTAGCATGGCAGCTACAAACTTCTTTATTCTCCAAGTATGACTTTTATGTATTGATATTAAAAAAATAGAATATATTATTCACTTTTGTTCCTGGCTTTCTCTTTGGAAATCTGCCTACCTCATTTTTTTTCTGTTTTTTTTTTTTTTTTTTTTTTTTTTTTTTTAGTACATGTTTGCTGTACATAATGGTTACATTCATTGTGGGGAATTGGTACATGTACGTAATATATCCCAATTCTTTTTTTTCTCTTTCCCCTTCTACTGCTATTTATTTATTTATTTTTCTTTATTTTTTTGTGAGCATCAGATTCATTTATAAGTCTTTATCAAGTTATTTATCATAAAGACAGATTAACAGCCAAACTAGCAGGCCAACAAATACAAAATACATATGAGTTTATTTTTAATTGACAGACAGTTTCAGTGGATACTTGTGTAGTTTGAATCTTATTTCTTTTTTTTTTTTCCTTTTTGGTGCCTGGGATTTAACCCGGGTCCTTGTGATTGCAAGGCAGGCAGTAGAACCACTGAGCTAAATCCCAGCCCTTCTTTTTTTTAATATTTATTGAAAACTTTTATTAGTACATGTGTGCAGTACATAATGGTTATATTCATTGTGAATCTTATTTCTTATAATGTGTAAAGTTTGGTATTGTGATAGGTGGAAGCCATTCATTCTTCATCTACCCTTTTTTCAGTATCTGGCACCAAATCTGGCCCTGTCATTTGTGATCCATGGTTCTTGTGATATGCCGAAGATGCCCAGGCAGTTTCTGTGGAACATCTCCTTGTCCAGCTCTAATCAAGCATCATGTAAACAAGAAATTGCCTGGTCACACATGTGAGGACTATACTCTCACTGCCAAAAAGATCAGTACTGACAGAATGGCAGCCAATTTCAAGTTATTAAAACCTTTAAAATATCAAGCATTTTGTAATCCTGTTGCCTACATTGCAACCCGAAGTGTGCTGTTTTGGAATATGGGAAACAGCTGGTGGCACAGAGGACAGAAACATCCAGAACAGAGTGGCCGCTGCTATCCTGCCAGAAGAGTGAAGAGTATTAGTGACACTGCCTCTTCTCAGAGAGTCCTCACAACCAACAGTGCCCTTCTGGGTTTGGGAGTCCACCAGGCTTCTGCCTCAAAGGCCAGCATGTTGCAGCTGGGTTCACCCAGGAATGTGAGAGCTGATAAAGAGGATGTAGAAGTTTTTGATTCCTTTGAAGACACCCGAGTTTTCCTACAGCTAAGACCAGAGTACCAGCTTCACAGCCATAACAAATCAAAGATTTGTCAGCCCCTGTCTTTTTCAGAAAGTGAACTAATTTTGCACAAAGTCAGAGTGTATCAAAATAACCTCCAGCCTCAAACTATTGTTGATTATTTCTGTAAACTGAGCTCTTTGCCTGCAGAGCAGTGTCCCATTTTGCGGTCTAAAGCCAGCTTTGCTTTGCTCTGCCATCTGAGTGTGAAAAACATAAAATCCTTTGATATCCCTGGTCTGATCAGTATTTTAAAAGCCTTAGTCAATTTAGAAATCCCTCACTCCCACCCAATGCTAGATGTATATGAAACCAGATTTGGCCATCATGTGTGGGAGATGAGTCTGGACCAGCTTCTTTTGGTGGCTGATCTCTGGCGGTACTTAGGCCACAGAGCACCACAGTTCTTAAAAATTTTTTTTAGTTATCTTAATTTGCATTGGAAAGATCTATCTTTGTCTCAGTTAATTCATTTAATTTATATTATAGGTGAAAGTCGTCAGGTACCACAGGACCTAATGCAAAAACTGGAATCACTGATCCTTAAGTATATTGATTCAGTCAATTTAGAGGAAGTAGGTGCAATCTGTTTGGGCTTCTTTAAGTCAAGTAGTAGTCTCTCGGAATTTGTCATGCGGAAAATCGGAGACTTGGCTTGTGCTGACATCCAGCATCTGAGTAGTCATGCCTTAGTGCATATTCTTAAAATGTTCCGTTTCACTCATGTGGATCATGTCAATTTCATGAAGCAGTTTGGAGAGATTGCACCTCAGAGAATTCCTTCCCTGGGGGTTCAGGGTGTTATGCACCTGACTCTTGCCTGCTCAGCCTTACGCATGTTGGATGAAGGAGTAATGAATGCTGTGGCTGCCTCTTTGCCTCCTCGGGTAGCACACTGTCGAAGTAAAGATATTGCCAAAATTCTGTGGTCATTTGGAACTCTGAATTATAAGCCACCCAACACAGAAGAATTTTATTCCAGTTTGATAAATGAAATTCACAGAAAGATGCCTGAATTCAATGAATACCCAGAACACCTGCTCACCTGCCTGCTGGGTCTTGTATTTGCTGAATACTTTCCAGCAGAGCTCATCAGTGTTGCTCTGAGTCCAAGGTTTGTCAGGTTAGCTCGAGAGAGAAGTAAATTTGAACTTACTAAGGAACTGTACACTCTTGATGGTACAGTTGGCATTGAATGTCCAGATTACAAAGGCAATCGTCTTAGCTCTCACCTTCAGAGTGAGGCATCTCTAAATCTGTGGAATTTAGCAAGGAAGGATATGAACTCAAAGCCTGAATTCCTAGAAGCTCTTTCTTTTCTTGAGACCATGTTGGGTGGCCCCCAGTATATCAAGCACCATATGATTTTACCTCATTCCCGATCTTCTGACTTAGAGGTGCAGCTTGATGCTAACATGAACCCACTACCATTTAACAGAGAAGCCATACCAGCTGAAGACAAGGTTAACTTAAAGTTTAAGCGTTTAGGAGTCAGCCTTACAGATGATTTGTTGAATCAGTTACTAAAAGGGAAAGCAAAAAGGCATTTCCAGAGAGAAATTGAGTCAGAGACTGGGCAGTGGCCCATGAAGTTGGAGAAAGCAGCCATACCATTGGGTAGCTCCCCTTGCAATGTGGCAGATGGGTCAGGGGCTGTTGAGATGGCTGGCCTGTATCCCCCAGCCCATGTGCAGGCCCCACTAGTGAAGCTGGCCATTCAGTTCACACATAGAAATCAGTATTGCTATGGTACAAGGAACCTACTTGGATTGCACAACATGAAGCGGCGGCAGTTGGTTCATCTTGGGTACCGAGTGATCGAGTTACCCCACTGGGAGTGGTTCCCACTCTTGAAACGAACTCGATCAGAGAAGCTGGCGTTCCTCCATGAGAAAGTTTTCACCTCTGATCTCTAATCATCCTTCAGAAGCATTTCCCCGCATCTGTAGGTTTACACAGTACCAGGCATATTGATGCTCAAAAAGCTTCAGAATTTGTAACATTTTGGATTTCAGATTTTCAGATTAGGGATACTCTTGGTAGTCTATGCAAATATTCCCAAATCTGAAACAACCTGAAATCGAAACACTTCTGGTCTCAAGCCTTTTGGATAAGGGTTATTCAACCTGTATTGCAAAATAATTATAAATGCCAGAATATAAGTGTGATAATAAAATCTGCTAAGGAAATGTAATGCTCTTGTCTGTGGCAAGTGGACCTGGTTACCGTGAATTAATTGTAACCTGTAGCAGTAGCAAGTTGCTGCTAATTTGTACATATTGGTTGTCATAATAAGCATTTTTTTTTTTTGAGTCAATGTCTTGCTATGCAATTCAGGCTGACCTTGAATTCATGGTGGGCTGGCCTTCAATTTGGGGTAATGCTGCTGCCTCAGCCTCCCAAGTGCTGGGATTATAGGCATGTGCCACCACACCAGCTATATTTCTACTCTTCTTGCAGAAAATCCCATTAACTATTCTGTTTTCTTAAAATTGGAGCTAGGAGGGAGAATTATGTAACTACCTGTCTGTCCTGCTTGTGGTTCCCACATCTGATGAATGTTTTTCATGGCAGGTAGCTCAGACAAGAAGGAAATATGCTACCTCTTGTTTGGTTGATTCAGGTTTGCTTATATTAAAGTCACAACTGAAGGGGATTATACAGTGGTGCCTCAACATTTGAACTCATTTCATTTGAGAGAGCTGGTTATAACTCAAGTTGGTCAATTGAAGGCTCAGGCTCCTCTACACAACCTTCAGAATCTCTGCTGTATACAGGCAGATTACAAGGTCCTTAGAGAGACATTGGCCCAGGATTTCTCAACCCCACACAGGAAAAGATGTAATGTTCCTTCTAGAACTCTAGGGGTTAAATCTGTATCTGAGACCATCTGGAAACACAAGTGGCTGGCATTAGGATTGTAACTCAAGTCTTTCGTCATAAAAATATAATTCTGGTTTTGACCCAAGTTGTTTATAAACTAGGCTTGTTGTAGCTCCAGGGTCCACTGTATAGAAGTAGCATACTACAGGTAACTTTTGTGAACCCTTGGAATCTGTGAGAATTTCTTTTTTAGTATTCCTTTATTTTTTATTTTTGCTTTTTTCAGGTGGTCTCACTATATAATCCACACTGGCCTTAAATTCACTGTATAGTCTAGGCTGGCCTCAAACTAGATGATCCTCCTGCTTCAGCCTCCCAAGTGCTGGGATTACAAATGTGCACCACCATGCCCAGCTGAGAATATTTTTTAAAAGGATCCTTCCCACCATTATTCAGGTCTCCTCTCAAAGATCACTTTTTCAGACTTCACATCCATGCTAACCAGAATAGCACTCCATTGGCTTTTTTTTTGTTTTTTTGAGATGGGGTCTCACTATGTAGTTGAGGATGACCTGGAACTCACTATGTAGTCCAGGCTGGTCTTGAACTCACAGCGATCCTCCTGCCTCAGCCTCCTGAGTGCTGGGATTACAGGCGTGTGCCATCACACCCGGCATTCCATTGGCTTTTGATCATGATCTGTCAAATCCTGTTTTGCTTAATTCATTTATTAGTTCAAATAGTTTTTGTTGTATAGATTCTGTAGGTACATGTTTTCTGTACATAGTTTTATGTCTTCTTTTCCACTTTGGGTTTTTCTTGCCTGTTTGCTCTATCAAGAATTTATAATAACACATTGAATAGAAGTGGTAAAAGTAGACATCCTTGTCTTGTTCCTGGTCTTAAGGAAAATAATGCTTTCAGTCTTTCACCTTTGGGTATGTTCTTAGCTGTGGGTGTTTATAAACACTTTATAATGTTGAGGAAGTTCCTTTTTTGTTGCTAGTTCCTGAGTTACCAATAAATAATGTTTTTAATATAATACGTCCCAAATTATACTAAATTGGTGCATTCTGATGAAAAAAAATCTATTGTTTATCTGAGGTTTAAGCTGGGTGTGGTTTGTTTGGGAAGCTGAGGCAGTATCACGAGAGTACAAGGCCAGCCTGGGCTACATAGTGAGACCCTGTCTCAAAAAAACAAATAATAAACTTTATTTTTATTTTTTAAATCTGGCAATTTTAAGAACCCACAGATTCAAGACAAGATGTCTTGGGAGTTGGGGCATAGAAGAGACTTTATTGCATTATGTGTTGAAAAAAGGGTACTATATACTTACCTGGTGGGGGAGATACTATGATCAAAAAAGGGTGCTGCAGTCAGAGACAAGTTCAGAATTCCGGAGAGAGCTAAGAACATAGAAAATAAGGCCTTAGAGAAAAGGGGCAAGGTTAGGGTCACATTTATATGTACAGGGCCTGGTTAAAACCTAATCTGAAATCCCATAAAATTTTGCTGATGCTGTTATTAAGGTACTGAGTAAATTATAGATCTCATCTTAAGATTAAGTCTTTTAGGAGAAAAGCTGTATCTATCTGTGCTTCACTTTTTGTTGTTGTTGTTTTTGTTTGTTTGTTTGTGACAGGGTCTCACTATGTAGTTGAGACTGACCTGGAACCCGCTATGTAGCCCAGGCTGGTCTCGAGCTCACAGTGGTCTTCCTTCCTCAGCCTCCCAAGTGCTGGGATTACAGGCGTGCGCCACCGTGCCCAGCTGTGCCTCACTTCTAACCCCATGTGTTTCTGTCTCTCATTTATTTTTTGTTTTTTAATTGTTTGAAACAGGGTCTACCTGTGTAGTTCAGGCTGACCTCAAACTTGTGATCCTTCTGCCTCAGCCTCCCAAGTGCTGAGATTGCAGGCATGAGCCACAATGTCCAGATGATGATGATGATGATGATGATGATGATGATGATTTATTTATTTTTGAGACAATGTCTCACTGTGTAGTTCAGGCTTTTGTGTTACTTCCAAATAAAAAAAATGTTTGAGGGGTATGGGTTTTGCTCAATGGTGGAGCACTTGGCTCAGCTGTGTCAGGCCCTGGGATTGATTCCCAGCACCACAAAAAGCAAAACAGACACCCAAAATCTGTTCCCACTTGTGTCTAACAGTGCCTTGAAATTGTTAAGCATACTGGGGATTTAGCTTGGTGGTGCTGCCACCTGCCTCACAAGTGCAAGGACCCGTGTTAGATCCCTGTACCAAAAAGCTGGGCCTGGTGGTACACTCCTGTAATTCAGCACTCAGGAGGCTGAGGCAGGAGGATCACTGAGTTCAAGACCAGCCTGGGCGACTGAGTTCCAGGTCAGTCTCAACTACATAGTGAGAACCTGTCTCAAAAACCAAAAAAAAATGTTAAGCTCTTGAAGGGTGACTCAACTACAGAGAGAATAAAATTTAAAACCTTTTTTTGGCCCACGCCCAAGTTCTGGTCTTCCTGTACACCTCTCACTGAGCAGCTGTGGGATAGGATGGGACAGCTGTCTTTAATTTTGACTGGCTCTAACAAAAATCCACATAAGTCAGGCTTTTTCATAGATGGACAGATAACTCAATTTAGAAATTATAAGAAGTATTGTGTGCCTTTAAAAGCTGAAGTGCACAATTTATAAAATTGCTCCCTGCATTGGTATTCCACCCACTCTGAGGTTAAATGCTTTTGTCTTGTTTGACAGGTAATCTTTTCCTTTTTTCTGTCTGTAATCTGTTTGAGCCTAGTCTTTAAAATATGTGTATGTGCCAGAATTACTTTCCATTGCATTTTTGTAAGGCCCAAAATCAGACTGTAAGTTGGCTATGGCAGCTTCTTGGCTGAGGGAAGATGGATGCTCAAGTGTTCAAAAAGTGTCATGGTCACCTTATTCTCTTCCAAATCCCCCCCACACCCCCTTAGGTTCAGAACCTCAGCAGCAACAAAAGCTTTGCTTAGTTGCTTCAAACCACAAGGGAACGCAGACAGCACTCTTGGACATGGTGAGCAGCTGGTCAGTTTGCCCAGAATTTACCCCATTTTAGCACAGCGACTCTGGGTTCTGGGAGTCCCTTCAACTCAGTAGACCAGTATAGTTGGTTGTTCCATTTCTGGATCCCCCTTGGTCCTTCCCTTGCACTTCTCTCTGGGTCTGGGTACAAGGAGACAGGAAGGTCTGTCTGCCTCAGGACATTCATATCTCTATGTAGCCCTCCCTGATGCTGTCCTTGGGACAGTTGAGTGGACCAAAAATAGTCCAGCTTCTTGTGAACACCAAGAATTGCCAAGCATACACCCTGTAGCATGTAGTAAGTAGCTACATTTATTGGAGATCATGGGAGGTAGCAGGAAAGGCAGAGGGAAGAAGGGTGAAAGGAAAAATGGATTCAAGGGTGAAGGGACAAAATGGGACTCAATAAACAGGCTTCTGGTATTTACAGGGGCAGACACCAGTTTCCCACTCTCATATCAGCAATCTGCTAAGCCTGGATAATCATTAGGGTAGTGTGAGGGAAGGGAGTGACAGCGCCTTTATTTCTAACTGTGCTACTGAGACTTTAGGACTCCAGACCAGGTGTGGAACTGTTTATATCAACTTTAGACATTTTATTTTATTTTAACAGGAAGAAAGACCCAATTTAACTGTCCTACAGTCTGCTGCATTACATATTTAAATTTCTCACTGTCTATTGTATCCCAAAGTATTCATCTATACAAATTCCTGGTGAACATTTTGTTGTCTTGAGACAAATCTCACTCACTATGCAGTCGAGGCTGACCTTGAACTCGCTGTATAGCCAAGCTGGTGTCAAACTCAGGATCTTCCTGCATTGTATCCCTAGTGCTTGAGTTTGAGTTGTGGGCATGCATATCAGTTGTGGGCTTCCATATCAGTCTAGATGAAGTTTTTTTTACTACTGAAAATAGAACCCAGGGTCCTCATACTAAGTTACATCCCAGCCCTGTTTTGGGGTGGTTTTTTTTTTTTTTTTTTTTTTTTTTTGGTACCAGGGATCGAACTGGGGTCCTTGTGTTTGTGAAGCAGGCGGCAGATGCAGTGCCACTGAGCTAAACCCTGGCCCTTCCAGCCTGTTTTTGTTGTTGTTTTGTTTTGTTTTTGTTGTACCAGAGATTGAACTCAGGACCTGTGCTTATAAGGCAGGCAGTGGCACCACTGATGTAAATCCCTGGCAGCCCTGTTTTTTGTTTGTTTGTTTTTAGTTTGAGGTAGCACTAAGCTGCTTACTCAAATTTATGATCCTCCTATGCTGGGGATTTAGCACAATGGTGCTGCACCTGCCTTCCAAGTGCAAGGTCCTGAGTTTGATCCCTAGTACCAAAACATAAAAGAAAATAAAATTCAAATTTATGATCCTCCTGCCTAAGCCTGCTGAGTCCTGGGATTACAAAGTGTTGGATGAAGTGTTTTTTTGTTTTTGTTTTTGTTTTTGTTTTTTTGGTACCAGGGATCAAACTCAGGTCCTTGCACTTGCGAGGCAGGCGGTGGAACCACTGAGCTAAATCCCCGGCCCAAGATTTTTAACACTGTGTGATCCTAATACTTCGAAAGTTTTATGTTCTTTTTACTTTATTTATTATACTTTGTGTTTTCCTACATACCAGTGACGTGTCATTTAAGTGACACGAACAATAAGAATAAATGTGTTCTCAAGTTTGGTTCTTACAGTGTGAGCAGTGAGCTTAATTGGAGTCCTAAGGGGCTGAAATCTGGGTAAAGAATTTAGAACTGTTGAGGTAGTAATATTTGTTGGTTGGAGGTATATCTTAGTGGTGGAGTGCTTGCCTAACTTTCGAGGCCCTGGGTTTGAGCCTTAGCCAAAAAAAAAAATTTTTTTTAATTGAAAGACTATATGCATTTATGAACAACTAGGGTAGCACAAGGGATCCAGTGGTACTTGAACCATTCTGATATTGACTATGGTATTGATTCCACAAATCTTACACAGAATAAAATTGCTTAGAACTAAAT